AACCCATTTAGGAATTGCGCATTCGACGGTTGTTGGAGAGACTTCCGGCTCTGTTGATGACCGGGTGATAGATCATATTTACGAAAGGGAAATAAACTTCAGAACATTGGAATCCGCAACAGATTGCTTGGCGAGAATTTAATTGATTGATTTTTTGGCTCATTTGTCACGTGGCGTGGATGAGAACTTCTTCGATTGATTTTTTTGAGTGAAAACATATTAATTTCAAAACGAAACCGGAAGCGGTTTATCACATCTTCATCGACTGGTTTTAATTACATATTATCAGAGCTAATCTAGCCTTTTGCCTCTTTCGACATAAAATTCCGTAGAGCCGTTTCTTATGTCGGCTTTTAAAAAAAACCAAAACCTTTTAATTTGCTGTTAGATTGTCAACCATTGACTGTCAATTGAAGTTCGATTTGACACGACTTACATAGATTGTCATTTGTTAGACTAAGGCTAGCTAGCCTGCAAGCGACAAGCTCAATACTTTTAGGACTGATTAGCGAATGATATAAAATCATTTTTCTAAACATCTTTAATATTTGAAAAAGGTTTTGTCTAAATGTTTTCGTAACTAAAATCAACAATTTTAAGCTCTCCGTTTTCTTAACTGTAATCGATTTCAGAGGAGAGAATTATGTTTTTTCTCAATTAATTTATATTTCAAAAAGTGTTCAAAAATAATTTTATTCATGCATTTTTTTATTTTTATTACTTCACCGAGACCTATTGCTTGCTAGCGGTTGCCATTAGTTAAATTAGTAGACAAAAATGAAAACGACCAATTTTTTTAAGAAATTTGATTTGCTGGTTGGCCAATATAAAAAAAAAAAAAAAAAATAAGCTAATAACAAAAAAAGGTCCTATCATGGGGCTTGAGCTACCATTAAGTTACCCACCGTTACTTAGTTCAATAAAGTTGCTCATAGAACGACTTTTCAAAATAAGGTAATACAAAGTGATGCGCCACGGACTATTTTCAATAGCATTCGTCCCTGAACCAAAACATATCGAAGTACAAACTTAATAGAAATATCTCAAAAATTGCGACCTTTATGTTGACGAGAACAGGATGTATAGGTGGAAAGACCTAAGAATAAAAAGAAAGTCTATCGCAAGTCCTTCTAGATGTTGCATACATCTGTACAAACTTAACACCACTCGTAGTCTTGGGTATAACAGCAAAGCAGAGTGGGATACGATTCGCCTTGTAATACCCTTCCAAACCATTTCAAAATTTACAAAAATTAAAAAAAAAAAAAAAACCTTCATAAACAGTCTTCAACACTTCAAAATCTGCCACTCTTAGTATTCTTACATCTGAAAATTGATAGATTAGAATTCTTATCGCGGTTTTCCACAGCACCCATAAGGTGGCGTGATAGGCGCTTTGCTAATTGTTTTAAAAGGCTTGCTCCCCTGTAGGCCTACACCACTACAAAGTTAATTTAAAACTATATAATATCTACTTAATATCTATAATAATAATAATAAATAAATCCAAGCCCCGTTAATACATAATGTACATACATAATACATAAAAACATAATTAATTATAACCTAAATAAATTGGGGACGCTGCTGTGGGCCGGTGTGTTGATATCTGCAAAAGAAAGATATTATGATTAATACATTTTATATACAAAGATGATCACAAACTTACCATTGACCTATGGAAGTGTCGCATTCCACGGAAGCGATATTGCAGGCGTGTGTTTTTTTTTTTTTTTTAATCTAAAATGAAATAAAAGAAATGAATAATTTATACATAGTAATAAGAGAGGCTAAATACGAGCTTACCTTTGGCATATAGCGGATCTTCATCAGTGGAGAGTTGGACTTCATTGTTTTTTATCTAAAATAGAAGAATAAATAAGTAATATATAAATATGAATATATAAGTAATATATTTACCTTCACTTAACGATTTAATATACGATTCTCTCTCTGTTGGCATTGTTAACGGACATGTCCTATTCTGAAATAGAAAACAAAAAATAAGTAATTGTAAGTTAATTTTATAAAAAATTTGAATTATTTATACTGCTGCTGAAACTGCAAACGGCGACTAAAAGGACCGGCAAAAACCTATTATGGAATCGAGACGGCTGTAAACGTGAATCGTGTTAGTTTTCGTCGTGATGGCGAAATTACACCGATAAAAGCCGCTAATGAAACAGCAAAAGCAAAAGCCAATTATACTGTCATATCCTTCCTGTTCGTCCTTTTCGATTTTCAATACGACATCAGTGTCAAGCTTTAAGCCTGTTATATTCGAACATGCGGAAATTTCAAAGAATCCTTTTTCCTAGCGATCTAGCCCACTTGGAGTAAATAAGAAATAGTTTACGCTTCGAATTCACATAATCTTTTAATCGTCTTCTTTAAACGCTTAGTTTGGATTTATATAACAAACGTATAAAACACAATCCTGAACAAATTCCAAGCCGTTTGTAATATTGGTCACGGGCCACGTTGTGATGCTACGTACATAATTTTTGGTCCGCCTGTCACAAGTAAAACCCTGCCCTACACTACTATACCGCAAGATGGTTAAGGTGCTAACCGGGGTGAATTACAGCGAATATGCTATAATCGATGATATCCATTTCTTTAACTTCCGAATCTTCTACTCTATTTTTATCACTTGTGAAAATATCTTCAATCTCATTTTCATTGATTGATTTCTTCGTCGGTATCATTATGATAAATTATTATATATAAATTTTATTAAATATTATTATATTATTGTTTTAAATGAAAAATTATTATGCGATAAAATGTTGATTTTCTTTACTATAAACAAAAAAAAAACAAGAAAAAATCAAAAAACATGTATAATCTGCCTAATTTCAGAGGCATATTTTAATCAATATAATACAAAAAGATATTTTCATGCTCATTATCAATTTATATTCTTATTTTCAATTTAAAAATGCCGGCTTTTATTGAAATTTTGCATCCAATCATAATTCATGCAAAGTGTGGTAATTAACCCAGCTCTAGAAACTATCCCAAAAATAATTCATGCAAAGTGTGATAATTAATCCAGTTGTAGAACTTAATTTGCAACGTATCTGGAAATTAATCCATCTGTGGAACCTAATCCAATCAAAATTCATGCAAAAATTGCTGAGCCTTTTTCTTCACTATTTTTCTTATTTATTGAACGCAACTCTGTGCTCTCTCCATTCTTCATAGATTGAAATTTTGTTATGAACAGCGCAAAGGAAAAAACAATCTAACGGCTTTCTGTGCGCACAAAACAACAAATTTGGCAAGCGGAGAAAGCACTGATTTCAATCAAGAAATTAAACGAAATTAACCAAAAAAAAAATTAGATAAAAGTATAGCTTTATTATAAATATATCAAATAAAGTGTTTCAGAAATTGTTAAGTATATCTCAAGTACATATAATAATAAAGAAATTAGAGACATTGACTAGTGTTTTAAAAATTGTTACGCATATCTCAAAAAAATATAAGAAAGAAAAAAAGTACATTGACTGGTAAGTGCATTTCTTATTATTTAAAATTTGATTTGTTATCAAGGAGACCCATTTGGGAATCTCATCTATTTCTGTTTCTGGTTCGTCTAGGCCTTGTTCTCTCCTCGCTTCGTCACATAATGTTTTCAATTCTTCTAAACCTGGGATAATATTTTCGTTTACTTTGCCCGTGTTGTCCGTGTATTTGTCTTCTGTATTTGACCCATCAATCTTGCCCCCGCTCTCATCAACCCCAAGTACTCAAGTAAACTCCCTTACGAATCATACGAAATCTTGTAATGTTGAGCGTCTCGTACTGCTCTTTATATCCAACCACTTCATGCTACGTCTAGTTGTTCTAATTGTTTTTTAAACTGCCTCCTCCGTCATTAATTGTCCAGTTTTCGCCATCAGTCTGTCAGGAAGTCGCTTGCATTCTAACATGCAAGCCTTACGTCCTTCAACACCCCACAACTTTGGGTGTTGACGCAACAACTCAATAAAAACTGCGTTGGATATATTTGCTAGGTAGTATAATAATAAATATACAATAATATAAAATAAATAGGTAATATAATAATATAAAACATATGAAAATAAAAAATAAATGAAAACAATTATAAACGCGTTACGCATGACGAACTAATAAATCTATATAAAAAGTGAATAAAAATGCACAAGAAATTTTAAATAAAGTAATTTTTTTTTTTTATTGCTTATTACTGCATGCGCTTTTTTTTTTTAACATCATTTCACATAAAAATAGATAATTATCAAGCTAAATTAAAATAAAACGACGATCTTTTTTTTATTTCAGTTTATATACAAAAGAAAATTTACGTTTTTTACATTTCAAAATAATAACAATTGAAAATTAGAAAAAAAACTGAAATGAAAATTTCAAATTAATAATAATAACAACTACATACTAAATTCTCCAGCTTGCCAGCGCCACTTTGTATTTATTTGTTTTCTTTTAATTTTATTTACTTATTTATTTAATTTTTAACACTGTGAACTGTAAACGGAACACTTTGTAGCTATTATCAATCTCCAAAGGTTCCTTTAAAGCAACGATTTTTATGATCTGAATCTAAATCTAATCTAAATCAAGATTTATCAAGATTGCGTTTAAAATATTTTTACGTTCGTTTCAAAGTACATTTTCAAACAATAATAGTTTATTAATTAAATTCATTTGCATATGAAATTGGAACTACTTTTTCCCCTAATATCATGGAATTGTATTTTGCCTTGCTACAGAATTTGCGATTTAACAGAGGAGCCGACGAAATACGAAACGCACGTTCTCGCGCTTTACGTCGAAATACCATGGATTGTGCGTTATTCAGTGAAAACTTTGTTGGCGGTTTTCGCCCTCGACGTACTAACAAACGTTCTCTAGCATGTTGGTAACCATAGTTGAAGAAATATAAATTTTTTTGTAAATTTGGCAATATTGCCGAGCTATCCTATCTTTGTTGACATCGTGCGGAATCTTTTCTTGCAAATATTATGAAGAAGTGTGAATCACTTGATTTAATCTGCACAAATCCAAAAAATCAACATATCAGGAGAATCGTTTTATGGTAAATATCGTTGCAGAATCGGAATTACGGGTGTGATCTTAAGCAACAAGATTGATATTTATTTATGACTCGCAAGGACGTTCAGGATTTGTTAGCAGAAATTATTAATTAAAAATTTAAGCCAAAGTATTAAAGGTCAAAGATAAAAAAGAAAAAAACATATCTATTTAAGTGTGATTTTTTATATTAAAAATACATATTTATAAATTTTTTCTTTAAATTACTTTCCAAGATTAATTTATAAACAATGCATCAACAATTTATTTTGTCGATGAGTTGCGAATTAAAACAGCGTTCTCTTGACGTCATAAACGAATTGCGCAAACAAAATCTGCTGTGCGACGTTACCCTGTTAGTTAACAATATGGAAATACCAGCTCATAAAGTAGTCTTGGCGGCGTTGAGTCCTTACTTCTGTGCCATGTTTATAGAGTCACAACAAGATCGAATTATCCTACAGGGCGTCGATCCTCATGCTCTTAAACTCCTTATCGAATACATGTACACATCAACGTTAGAAATCAATAAGGAAAATGTCGTAGAGCTGTTAACCGCAGCCAATCTTTTGCAATTAACCGATGTTCGAGACGCCTGCTGTGACTACTTACGAACTCAGTAATACATGTGCAATTTACTTTTCAAATTTATTATACACATGCTCTCTTCATATATGCTCCTTTTCTTATATACTTTGAAAAGAAAAAAACCAGATAACGGGTTTGAAAAGTAACCGGAGAACAGCAAACAGCAGTTAATTCAACTGAACAAAATTTACCCAAAAGTGGTAAAGTGTATTGTGTATCCCAGCAAATCAATTCGGTGTTTAGTTCCATTGGGGTACGACCCTTCATCTGCGAAAAAGGCAAGCCGTGCCACGATTGTTGCACGCGCTTGTCGATGTCGCCTGCCGGCATGTTTGTCTGCATCGCTGAGTTGAACAGGTCGTATCCTTGGTCAAACTCCTCGTGGATAAAGGGTTTTGGGAGCGCTGGATTCATGTATTCTGGCCCGAGAAGTAAATTGTTTTTCTTATCTTTTGCCATTTGTTTTCCGTTGATTACCTCGCAAAACTTGCCTTTGCCTTCCGTTAAATCTCTTATGCAGTGGTGGCAGTTAAGCTGGTCATGTACCTAGCGTCCGATCCCGTACCTCGTGACCAGACGCAGATAGCTATCAATTTTTTGTCGAGCTGACCTGTTATCAGGTTTGTGAATATGTCTCCAGATAGAAGAAGAGCCCGAAACTCTTCTTCTATTTCGTAGTTCAGTTTTTCGATTAGCTCGTAATCAAGTCGTAATCAAGTTATTTGTTGTCGCCTTAATCTGTTGAAGAATTCTAAAATATGTTCTGATGGTCTGGTTCGCTTTCTTTTCGTCACCGCGATCTTAATAAAGAAACATTCCAGGAGATCCTGGCTTACGCTGTATGAGGCTATCTTGATGCCAGGGTAAGCCTCCATCAGGTCGTCCATTATGCTGATGAAACTGTTTATGGTCATGAATTGTTCCCATTGAACTGCAGTCGTTAGATATTCTTTTGTGGCTTGAAGTTTCCTTTTTAGGTGTTCCCAAGTGTCGGCCGTTATAGTATTCCGGTGCAACACGTTTGTTAGCATTTCATAGAATTTTAATATGCCCCCGGCACTGTTCCGTTCCTGACCTACGGGTAAGATGTTCACAGCGATTGCCGCCTGGACTGACGTTGGTGTTATGTCACAGCAAAATAGTACTAATTCAGCGGGACACCGTGGAGATGACACACTTTGTGCGACGTTTCTCCGCTGGCAGAAATTAGATTTCGGCCTGTTTCTGCTTGGAAGTTGTGTTTGTAAGCTAAAGTTTAGCAATTCGTCATCTTGTACTTTCCTTTTGAACGATGTCAGCCGGTGAATATAATCGTGTAGAAGCAAAATTGTTTTAATGCTGCCATCTGCTTGTTTTCTTTTGTAAACGCCGTTAAAATGTGCTTCGTCCTGTCTTTGTTGGACGACGATCTGGCTCAGACAACGGCTTTGACATCTCATCCGATCTCCTCTTCAGCTTGATGACGTCTTCTAATTGGCTGGCATCACCTTTATGTCTAGTGAGTGGTGTTGCACTTAGCATGATGTTGAATGGTGGTTAATACGTACTCAACCATTTCCCCTTTGGGTGATAGTCCGCAGCCGAGCATCTTGTCTTCAGCTCGGCTGTAGATTACCCTTTTACTTGTGAAGACTTCATCAAAGTTAATCTGGACTATCTTGTTGTGAGAACTTAATTTACTTACGACTTCCTTTAGTGCCTCGGTGTCCGTCACTCCGCTTTCAGATGAGTCCACTTCCTGCCCTTGACATTTCTTCAATGCAGCAATTTCAGCTTGCGGCATTATTATTATTATTTTCCTTCTTGATTTTCCCTTTTGCTCTTTTATGATCTCGACCAACGACATATTTGTTTTTTTTAATAGTTCGTCTGAAAAGAAAAAAAATAATAATAGAAATTTTAATATATTATTACAACATACCCATTGATATACTCATGTCACTATTGTTTCGTGTAGACAAACGCGAAATGAAAGTTAAAAAGAAATTCGTCTTAAATTTGTTGTTGGTTCGCAACGTTGTACCTTTCTTCAAAAAGAAGTAGTAGTAGTTGCGTTAACAGCCTTGGCAGATCTGTTGTATCATCTCGATTGTTTCTTTTATTCTAAAAATTGAATTCATTAGCATAAAATTATAATAATGGTGATAATAGTTTCTATATAAAACTCAAGCTAGCTGTGCACAAGTATTAAAATAAATTCGAATTGCAAGTTTTTGCTTTTATCATATTTACATCAAAGATTTATTAAAATTTATTTCTTCTCTTTTTAGTTGATTACAATTAGCTTAAAATTTCAGGGTATTTTTTTTTGTTGTTTTTTTTTTTGTCTGACTGATTTATTTAGTTTATTTTAGTTTATTTTAAAAATTAAATATTTTTAAAATTTTTAATTTTACTAATCTTTACCGGGCGAAATTATGAATTTTTGGCATGGAGTACATGGACATGAAAGTTTGTATTCACCTTGTGTATTTTATTCCTTCCTACAGACCTTTCATTGTGTTGCATTTTAGAATAAATCTATTATTATTATTACAAGCAACTTTGTGTATATATTCTTACTCCTCTTATTCTATTTTGAAATAGATAAATTCTACAATGCATAGATAAAAGAAAGAAGGAATAGTTAGATGGATCCTTTCACACAACTGTGTACCTAGTCCTCTGTATACACTCACTTATAAAAAAAGGGAGTCAAATACCCATTGCATGAATTCGCCCGTACTTGTTGAAACTTTTTGTAACAGAAAACCGATAAAAATATCCGGTAGATTCTTATTAGTATGTAAGAAAGTAAACCTAGGTAAGAAAGACTTCAATTTTCGAAATTACATTTCGAAAGATATTGTTTTCTAATCGTTTTTTTTGCTGAGGATGAAATTCTGCGCTCGGCATGCAATCGAAAGACCCGAGTTCGATATCCACGTGTAATTGACCATAAATTGAATCAATCAGTACAATAAAAGCTGAATCTATTCTAAAACTTTGCCGATATTGTTATACAAGCATCTTCCTCTATGTGAATTTAGTTCAAAACTTATTGTTTTGTAATCGTCCTTACCACCTTACCGCGCGTTGTATATTCGAACGTGAATTTGAATGGGAAATTGAACGAATGTTGACGTAATTGACGAGTTTGTCTACATTGCTTTGTGCTTTCAACTTGTATCGTCGCATTGTGAACTCAAAGCGTCTCTTTCGATTTGCGATATGAGATTTTGCCTGCCATTCGCACACCTAGCTCTCACTTAAAATTTTGATCAAGAGGGAACAGGACTTTCTTTCAACGTGTAACTCATTCAATGCAAGCGTTAGTTTAGTGCATTCAAAATATTGATGAGTAAATCACCAATTAAATTAAGTAATCTGAAGTGAATCTTTTTTTTTATGTCAATATGTTACACATTGTTTCAATATGGGAGGAGAAGAATTCGTCACTTCGACAATTGAAGAAATACTTTCCTCTTTACTTCAAAAATATATTCAATAAATTCTATAATTAAATTACAAAAATCGCTTATTCGTTTCGTTGTACGAATTTCGCTACAAAATTTTTTTTCTTTTTTTTTTTTGATGACTAAAATTAACGCAACTATATTTCGAAATAAAGAAAAAGCAAAGAAAAAAATGATCGTAACTGCTCCAAACAAGTGGTTGTTGGATTATCTGGCGCAATGTAGTGACGTGACAAATTTAGTCATAGAAATTATCGAGCTACCAAAGCCATATGGATTGTCTCCAAAAACTCCCATAACCATCGCGCCTCCTATGCAACTTATAGCATCAAAAATAAGCACACTTTCTAGACATTGGCAACAACGTGCAACCATGGATGAAAATGTCGAGATATTGATGGCGGCTACAATGGCCAGCCTTCAATAAATCATGGATATCTGTGTATATATACATATAACCAGTAATCAGATGGTTGATAAAATGCAAACGCAAACTCGCTGGGAACGTAATAAAGACGATTCAAAAATAATTAGAGTTAAATAATTTTAATGTAATTTTGAAAATTTGAATTAAAAATTTAATTAATCAAGCAATAAAACAAATTTTCGAAATTCTCAAAGTCAAAAAATTTGGGTATCTCTCTTCTTTGTCCTCGAATTCATATGCCACAAGCCACCCAGCCAGTCCAGGTATTCATATATATATACATATACATATATACATATATTTGATACCATAACTGATATATAGGTTTGTGAAATTTCTTCTTTCTACCGCTTCAAATGGCTTCCTTTCTTCTTGTTAACTGGATTTCTTTTTCGCGAGGTAAGAACGCCTTGTGACGGTGTTGCCTCTGGCATTGAGAATATGTTTACCGTATTTTTCGGTTTTAGCAAGCCATCGTAAATGCATGTTGCAGGCAATGCCTCCAAGGACTTCTCGTGATCAATTTTGCGTAGAAATTTTGAGGTATGTGGCAGTTTGATTTGCGATTTAACTTTTACTTGAAGATCTTCTGTGTGGCTCGTATTCGATAGCTTTACAAAAGGTCGATCATAGTTGTTTCCATTAATTTCCCTTGGATTAGAACTATTATCTATTCCTTCTCTAGCCGATTCATAAGGCTTAGCAACCTTAACGACCTCTATGACTAAATTTGAGACATCATGACATTGGGCGATATATCTTAATAGACAATCATTCGGTATAGTCACGTCCAATTTTTTATTCCGGAATTCGAAATGGTTAACATCGAAAAGGCTGCGAACGACTCTTTGGAAATCTTCCAAAGTGAGGTTACGTTTACCCTGCGGGTTTCCAACCGTTACAAATTTCTTCTTATTATTACATTCAAATAATAAAACGATTCCCGACTTAACACCCATGCTTTTTTTATTTTATATTCTTAACTTCTCGCTAAAAATTTGAAGCGGACTACAATTTCGTAAATTTGTTAAAAAAAAAAATGATTTCTTCAATTGTAAAAATGAAAAATTCTTTCAAATGTGCTTTTTTCCTTGAACTTCGGATTCACACGACGTTTGAAAGATCGAATTTTGAATTTGACATTTAAAACTTTTCTTTTATATAAATGATTTAATACCGTGAATCATCTGATTCATAGATTTTCTGGCTCGGGAAGAGGAAGATTTTTATATTACTATAATTTGATATTCTTCTCCCAAAATTCAGCATATCAACAATAGATAATTCATTGCGTTGCTGACATCTCGAGCTGAACCGCGATACTAACGGTATCGTAAAAAAGCGCTATTTGACTCTAAGTCTTCTTTAGCTCCGCATTATGTTGGAATGAAGCTCAAACTGAAACTTTTATATGCTTGCGGAGGACTGTTATTGATATCTAGAATCTTGATTAAAGTTTCGGTTTTGCGCCCCTATCATACCTAAACAATTGACGAACCTAATAACGTCCTCAGTCGGCCTGTAGTTTGTCCGAAGGCTTCTGGCTTTTTCATTTGAAAAATAAGGAATTAATGAAAGGTTGTACACAGTAGCATGGAAAGCAGACTGCCCTTGTGCCCCCTTGTGTCTGCGTCGGAAATATATCTGAACGGGTGAGATCAGGTTATACAAGGTAACTCCGAAACCGGCTTTGTGTCAAAAGAGAGGCTCTAGGTTGCTTAGTCGCAAATATACATTAACGAATCGAATCAGACGAAGTTTATAACAATTTAAATGGCGTTAGTGATCAAAGGTTGTATACTCAGAAGTGCCTTTAAACAGCGGCTTATTTTACCTTGACTGCGTCTCTCTATCGAGTCTCCTTTACTTATATAAGCACTGTCATGTGATCCCGTCTTGTGTAGTAGATTGTCTCCGCAAGCCTCAAGAATTCTAATGACCTTTGTCATGCCATTGTTTGCAAAACTCAAGCACCACTGCAGCCTTAGGCCTCTTTTAAAGGCCACGTGAAAAGCATAATGAATCGTCGTTGTTTTATTATAAATTATTTTATTCTTAAAATTAGTTTCCAGATTGTCTGTAGCTGTCGAAGTAGCGCGTAATTCTATTGTAAGTGTTATATACTGCCTGCTCTTGTAATATGTATATGATACCCGCCAAAAGAATTGAGTCGAATTCGGCCTTGTTATGCACGCAAAGGTTTTAACTAAAATTTCGAAAGCCAAAAAAAAATTTTTAAGTTCATACTTTCTTAACCTCGTCCTAACTACTAATCGAATCTTCAATACTTCACTTTGATTGTAACACTTGAAACACAGCATAACTATAAGCGATCTTATGAATCGACTTGACCGACTTGCTGATTTTTTACGTAATCCGACGAAGCATAGGTTTAACTTAAGTAATTTACGTTGACAAGTAGAAGCCTTGCTAGAAGCTACATTACTTGTAATTACCAACTGAGAGTGGAACGTTTTACGTTGGAATGAAGTGAGGCTGCTTGCATGTGCAACTTGATACCTCTTAAGTGCTCAAGAAGGGGGAAATGGGGATTTTTATCTTTATTCTTCGGTCATTTGAACTAATGGCTATGATTTGGCCTGACTACTGAACATCAACGAAGCATGTACCTTTCCAAATCAGCCAGCCGTTATTAGACAGAGCCATTAATGGGAGGGACAATTGCCGTTCATTGCTGTTATCAGCTTTGCAAGCAAACAGTAGGACTATCGTCTATAATCGAGGATGTAGCTCCCAATGTCATTCAAGTATTATGCGATGATACGTCTATAAGGTGCATTGTTGGAGATTAGGTGGAGAGGAATAAGGCAAGGCACAATCGACAAATAACAAATAAAAAGATGCGACGAACATGACATCTTCCCGACTATGAATCTCATTGGTCGACTAGTCCATCGAGATGATGGGGAACACTGGTTTGAACACGTTGCGAATACAGCCTCAAATGGGAATTGTGAAGCTCATCAACCAAATAGAAGGCATACAGGAATTACCATATCCTCCTTTGGCTATTTAAAGGTGTCTGAGCGACTGATTTGATGATTTTTGAACTGAACCGTCAAGAATGCGAAGCTTTAACTTGAAATAAAAACCGTGAATTTGAAAACACAAACCGATCGATGGCGACACATAAGAAGCTTGTGGGATCTTGATACGATGGAAGTGAAATGAACAGCGCTCGAAACCAAAACTTGAAATAATAGCTAAGGGAAGAATATCGTGGCACTTTTGAGACGCGTAACTTTTCCTTGCTGCTAATCCCATAACTCTGTTCGATAATCCATTTACGAAGCGACATAGATCCAGATAATACGAAAGACTGTGCCATTTTTCAATTCAGTCAAAATAAGTTGCGTTTTGAAAATGGGGCAAAATTCTGAAAAATTATTAATTCACACTTCAACCGAAGTAATAATGCTTTTGATATAAATGTTACATGCTTAAGGAGCATGTTTTTTTCCATACCTCCTTTTGAATTCATATGTTTTCGTACGTTTTTTCGATACCTCCTTTTGAATTGTAAACATTTTCGTATATTTTTTCTATACCTCCTTTTGAATTCATATGTTTTATCAGAAGATAGCTTGTTCGTTTCTGCTTCGAGAATTCCAGTGTTAACCTGATCGACCAAACACTGGTAAAGTCGTTTATATTCTTTGAAAAATTAAAGATGATTGACATGTGTCCACTTATGACGCAACTACGGAACTAAACAATGATCAACAAAAAACGTTTTTGAACTATACACAAAGAAGGAATTTGGGTACCGCATGGATAGAGAGTGAAAAATTCAATTAATTTAATTTTCATCCATAGACCGCTTTTGAAAAGAATCAAGATTGCGCAATTTTTGGAAGGGATTAATAAGGTGCGATAAAATGAGGCTTCAATGAGTTTTGAAGGCAACTATCGATCTATTCCAATTTCCACTGCCAATAATTAACAGCATTAAAGCGTGCAATTGAAAACAAGCGTCCAGAATTACAAAAGTGTTCAATATTTTCACTCAACGTTCTTAAACAATGCTATTAACAACAAAAATTCAAATTTTTATCGATCGAAGCGATACATATTTGATCAAGCGATGTTTATTTAGAACATAAGAAGAAAATGTTTGAATTCAACCAGGAACAGTTTCCTTATCCCTAACAGTAATCGAGAATTTCAACAAGCAAAGAAACAGTTAGATAGATGGACATGGTCATGTCTCTTAAAAGCATTTATTGTATAAAATATCGTTCAAAATATTTAACGATTCTAATATTCCTGTTGGGACAGATATAAAATTTGTTATATCATGAAATCGATAGAAACCGTTTCAATCGATTAAGTAACGCAACCATTCCTCTTATAAGTATATACAAGAAACAATGTTGTTGTTATATGCCCATCACTTCCTTGTTATATACAAACTCTTATATGCTTTTAAGCAGAGCATAGTCTGCCATGAATTGTATAAAAGTTAAAGCAAAAAAAAAAAAAAGTCAGAAAAAGGTGTGGCGGGCAGCGCTGCAAAACCGTTTTTTTTTTTTCTTTTAATCTACGTCAAAGTCAAATAGACCCTTCACTCTCTAAAAACAAAAAAAAAAAAAAAACCAATGATGATGTTTATAAGTATGTAAGTTGTTGCGGCACTTGCGGGCTGACAGCCAGGCAAATTTTAATGGGAGCTCTCCAGCTATACAAAACGAACAGAAATAAATGGAATTCACAAAAAAGGAATGGGCGTAACGTGTGTAAATATTCTAAGCACACACACACGCGCGCACATTTGTATGCGTGGATATATATATATGCATACATGTATAAGTTAAGGTTTTTGCGATAAATTTCGACTACATACACGAGAGGAAGACAAAAAAATCTCGTAAAAACCATATCTCGTGTGTTTCTGTAGTTAAGTTAAACAATTTATAGTGACTGTTGGATTAGATGTATGAATGGTTGCAATGCCACTCCCACCCACACCCAAACTCTAATAAATGCGACGTGGTTTTGCGTGGGTCGTTGTGTGGGTTTTTGATAGTAGAGGAGATTATTGCAATAATTTTTCATTTTATTACATAAATATTCCTGTACTGTGTAAAAGGTGGGCTTTTTGTTGTGGTTATTGTTTTTTTTTTCTTTTATTAATATAAAAAAAACAATTTTGAATATGTACAGCCTTATAGTGACGCTACCCGTCATTACATTCTATATTCATTCTACAGATATCCATATATCGAGTATAGTCGAAATACCATGCACCACTTCGTTTAATACAGTTATTCACATAACGAACTATCGCAATAAAGCATATTGTTATGTTATGAGAATTGGTAGGGAAAGTAGACCAATCCAAACTATTTTTAATAATGTTCGTCCTTGAATCAAAACACGGCTGTCTACCCGCATAACTAGTAGATTGAATAAAGAAATGCACGGATGAACAGATGGACAGACAAGCTTAAATCGATTTAGAAAATGGTTCCGAATCGATTGGCATAATACGAGACGAGTCCACTTTAAGTCGTTCTTGATTTTAGATACACTCGCACCAACTACGTACGCCCTGTTTCTCAACTGATTTATGGTATAATAAACATACCTAAAGACGTGAAAGTCTTCACTTCAAAATCAAAAACTTTCGATGATTTTTCTGAACAAATGGCAATTCATTCGATCATACTGCGCATCCAAATTTTGAAAGTTCAAGTTGCGCTTGATTAGTCAAAATGGATTTTGTGCCTTTCAAATAATCTTATGGAAGGCAATGTCCGAGCAGTTTAATCTTTCGACGGGACAATAAACTGGGCAGGTAGCTGCTGGTAGTTTTGCTTTCTATCGGAAGAAAGGTTAGTACGCCTCAAACCATGAATTTGCACCATGTTATCGAGAATTCATTGAAACTTGGTCCTTCTCACCTTAGTCAATATGTTAAGTAATGTTAGGTAATTTACGTTTCACATCTTCATAAGGATTAAGGCCAATGTTCGAAATTCGGTATAAACCGTAGCTAGAAAATCGAATTCCTTCTAATGGCTAGCGGGCAAGTTTCGCTCTTCACAGAGACTTCATTTTACCGTAAGTGCGGTTTGTGTGAAATGATGAAATGCTGACCTTTTCGATGCGCTCCACAATCGAGCAACGAATCTTACCAAATTTCATAAATATTCTTTCTTCATAAAGACTTTCACTTAGAAGGCAGTGCCAGTCAACGGCTATGCTTGTATCAAATTCAACTTGTTATATGTTACCGAAGACTGACTAACATAGAAAAAAAGACCAACAGTGGACCCACCCTTTATATATAAATATTCTTGTTTTTCTTTTTATTATATTAAGTCCATACTAATTATAATAGTAATAATATATCAAGAATACATACACAACGCTACGAATGCTTTAAAGTAATATTAGAAAAAAAAAAAAATAAAAAAATTTCATATAATTTATTCATTTCTTGTAAAGGAATTGAAAAACATTACCTAAGGAAAGCCTTACTTGCTTGGGTGGTAAATAAATTATATTTTGAAAACAGCCTTCAAGTAAAGCTTGCTCTTAGCATTACACAATTATAAATTTTAATATAATACCAAACAGAAAAAGAAAAGAAATCGAATTCGCCTTTTTTTGTTTTTGTGTTTTTCTTTTTTTTTAAATATAAAACATGTACAAGTGTCTGCAAAAGGTGATGAAAGACTTCGCAGGCGTAACTATTTTATTTCAGTTACGATATTGAAATCTTCTCGTCCCTTGTTTTAGATTCCAATTGCCTTCTTACGCTTCGCTACTATCTTATCACCGTCGTCGATGCCCCGCAAAACTCATCTTAGCCTGATGTGCGTATTCAAATGTTTCTTAAGATGATCGCTACGCTTAAAACCCTTATCACATTCGTTACATTTAAATGGTTTTTCACCGGTATGCACCCGCATATGTCGATTGAGATCATCTTGACGTTTAAAATATTTGGAACATACCGTACATTTATAAGGTCGTTCCGGATCGTAAACACTATCAACAGAAGTAGTATGTAAAAGACTATATTGTGGGTTTACATTATTAAAAGGTGGTAGATTAGCTTCAGGCATAATGGCGTTATCGTCGGGCTCTTCTCCTTCATTATCGTCGTTGTGATCATACATTATTTCATTTTTTATATAGACTTCTGGTTCAATTTTTATACCAGGTTCCATTTTAACTTCAGGCACTAGCAATGATGGACTAAGAGGAGCTTCGAAATGTTCTTGCTCTTGATAACCTTGATTTAATAAATCGGGCTTGTTATCTTCATTCTCAGCATTATCTCCACTGTATGCCGGCATAGATATTGCGTTAACCATATGATATTGATGTTCACTATAATCAGGTTTTTCCAATTTAATTTTTACTGTTTCTATCGGCAGTATGGCTTCATCAGTTAAATTCTCTGGCGAGGCGGTCTGACGATTTTCTACCATTGAGGCCATAAAATGTATACCATCATTACAATCCATTTTAATATCATCGCTTTCAACTTTTATAATTTTTGTAGGTGCAGGTCCGATAGCTATAGCTTGTTTATTTGTCCTCGGTTTTCTAGTGTTACCATTTGTCATTTGTTTGGCATGCGTTGCCAAATGTTTACTTAAGTGATCACTACGCGAGAATCGTTTTGTGCATTGCATACACTCGAACGGTTTTTCGCCGGTATGAGTGCGTACATGACGATTTAGTTCGTCGGAACGAGTAAATCCCTTACCACAGCCAAGTTCTTGACACACAAAAGGCTTTATTCCGGTATGCCATGTAAGATGAGAACGCAAATGAGAACTTTTCCCATAGCTTTTGGTGCAATTTTCATAAGGGCAAGCGTATTTCTTTTTCAATAATAAAGGATCAGTTGTTGATGATGATTGAGGAGCCAAGAGCTTGCTAGTTGGCGTTAAGCGTATTTGTGGCGAGGCCCTTTTGTTATCTTCGTCTAATGTATTGCTATCGTAGATATCTAAAGGTGGTTCAGATTTAATAACAGTTGCCGCCAACAAAATGTTTTGCGATGGTTTTATCCCATTAACAGAATCACGAACTTTGCTCGAATGCATTTTCTCCTCCCTTAGGCCATTGTTGGCACACCCATTATCTATTGATAACACACCCTGTTCGCTTACTTTTGTATATGCATCGGTCGAAGTGATTAGCATGTGCGGCGTGGGCGTGTCGTCTATAGCAGCCATTTAACTCACACAACACAGATACTACACACTACACACGTTTCTATCTTTATGGTGTATTTGATTTATTACAGGAACCTATGAAAAAAAACAAACAAGAAAGTTCAGAAACATTACAAAACAACAACAATAACGAAGAATCATAGTTCATAACACCTTCCTTACCTTCGATGACCTCCGCACTAAGTGATGCAAGTTTGCTTGGATTGTACGCCTTCGGTTTTCGTTTTAAGTGGGCGTTACCTTACTAATACATTATAACAAAGTTTTTTCTTCAAAATTCACAAATTGTAAAATTGCCTTTGCTTGAATGTTTGTTATTATGAAGAAATTCTTTTTTATTGCTATTTATTAAAGTTTTATTAAACAATTTTGTAGTTTTATTTTTTTTCCTTGATAACTATTTACATGTGGATTTTAGCCATTCAATCCATAACTAAAAATTATTTTTATACAAATCTTGCACTCCTCCACTTCCTACGACTGGTTTTTTTATTCGCAATGTTACCAAGTCTTATATATTTGTCAATCGTTTGGGAATAAGATTAACATTCAAGGATTAAATAACATTGTAGAAAGTACCTGGGAGTTTGCATATTTTAGTACAAATATTTAATTTTGACGTTTTATCAAGCTATTTTGGGATTTCATAATCGCGATAACAAATTTTCAAATTGATTTCGTATTCGATTTTTTATTTCGAAAAATTGAGCTTTCTGGTAATAAAGAATATACATTGGCTAAGGAAGTTGCGACAATAGATCCACCCCGACGCTAAAAAGATAAAGCTTATATAATATCGATAGCAGTTACTGTGGCAATGATACCAAACATAAGTGTTTATAAGAATATTTCGTCTTGCTGGGATAAATTCCGAAGTTTTTAATGTTTCATATATTTTAGACTAGCTTCCGCTTTGATTATTTAAATTAAAATTTTCTTACGTTTTTTTGTCCTTTTATACATTTTTCGCAAAATTATCACGCGTTTATTTAATTCTAAACATTTTTCTTCGGCTAAACCTATGATTTACTGAACGCAAACACAATGTTTGCGTTATGCGATGAGATTGAGAACCAAAATGAGTCAACAGTTAACTAAAGCTAAAGTAAAATTATGTGTCGAATGTTTGTTTATACAAATGATGTTAGCATAAGCGACAAGCTTATTTTCAAAAATGACTTTTTTCAAGTAAAATGCAATTAATAAAACGAAAACCATTTTTTTTTTTTATAGAGAAATGGATAGAAATATATGTACTGTGCCTAAAACATGAAGCATATGATTTTTTCTGTTTTCATAAATACATCACTGTTTTGTCTGTCAAAAGTCACGCACGTAGAAATATTCAAAAAGCTTCCATTCATACGTTACACGCAATCAATTTTATAATTTATGAGCCATGCAATTATTGTGTGCCGCTTTACTAAGTTTGCGATTGCTACAGTGATTTACTTCAGCTGTTGATATCATTCTTATTGTACGAAATATATGGTCTGCAGAGTTGCCGCGTTTCGCAATATTCTATCTAACATTGAAGTTAACACCATGTTTTAACTACTTGTCACAATAGGGACAATATTAGATTATTTAAATAAAAATTATTTGAATTACGAAAGCGATTTATAAATTCCAGTCAACGTAAAATATTACATCATATTTATTTGAATGCAGACGAAAAAGGCCTAATGACTGTTTAAGTAATTAAACGGACAACTTCACTACTTAATAAAGCAACATACAGCCGGTGTACGTTTTATTTGCATTCGTGCAGTAAAAAGCAGATATTTAACGAAACCCGCCCAGCGAATGTAGTAGTAGTCGGAGAAACATTTACTACGTGTAATGAGTATAAGAATTTTTGTGCATTTTTTTTAAGCAATTAAAGGTGAAAAAGGTTTACAAAAATTTTAAAATTTTTATAATCCTTTAGAAAAATTGCAAACAAATTTTTGAAAAGTGTAAGGATTTATAAAATGAAAATGTTTAAGAAAAATCATGTGCTATAAAATCTTAAATCAAGTTTGAGTCATCAATAAGCAAATATAAAAAAAAAGCGGTGGAGCAGAGTAATGAAAAGCAAAAGAAACAAGAATCAGCAGCAGCAGAAGTTGTAGGCAATTGAATATATAGTGGTATAAGCGAAACTCTAAAAGACGATTTTACGAATAAAAAATTCATTTAAAAGAAAATATTAAAAATCTCGGGCGATTAAAAATCGTATGTTTAGGAAATAAGAAAAATTAGAAAATAAATTTAGTAAAAAAAAGTAAATATTAAAGGTAAAACACTAGACAGGCGCTTTTTACACACACACTGAGACATTTAACGAAGATTTGCGTACCGCGACAAAAAAAAACAAGCAACAAAAGAAACGAACAAAAACGCATTCAAAAATTTTGCATTACAATTCTTCTGTATGAGTGCTTGTTGTGTCTAAATGTGCATTTTGTGTGTGTTTTTTTTTGTACGGCCTCTCAATTTTACACAAAAACACTCTCACACCAAACTTTACCCACTCAGTCATTCAAGTGTCTAGTAACAATATAGTTGCTTATTATAATTTTGCGGTTAAGTTTTATGTTTCATTTGTTTTAGAAAGTAAAGAAGTTATTAAAATCATTAATAAAATAAATAACTGTGCGTGCGTGTGTGTGTGTAAATGCTTAAAGGGTTTTAATAAGAATTTTAGAAAAAAAAAAAGAAGAAAAATAATAATTAAAAACTGTTTGGAATTTAAATTAACGCTGGCTAGCATGTGTTAAGGCGAAATGAATTAAAGAGGAATGAGCGTAAAGAGCTGGTCTGCAAGGAGTGCTTTGAAAAACCTAGAAAAAACTAAAGAACTTCAATAGATTTCCATAATTTGTCTGTCTGTCTGTTTGCATATTTCTTGGAAAGATTTTGTCCATAAACAGGCAGAATAAGCCATTAGAAGTTTACTCAAATTGAAAGAGAAGCAAAAAGAGCGATGACAGAGAATGAGAGATTGATAACAAGACAGGACCTTTTTTTTCTCTTTTAACTTTAAAAGCAGCACTGCCAGTGTTAAATTTTTACCTAACGGCTTTACTAGGAAAAAAAAAAAAAAAAACAAAACAAAAACATTTCTTTTAACCCTGCATTTTCTTTTTTTATTAATTAAATGTTTTTTCTGAATTTTTTAGTAGACAACGAATAAGTTTTTTTTTTATATAAAAGAATTTTATACATTTTCGAATTAAAGTAAATCAAAAAGAAAATTTTTTTTTATTGTTGTGTACGTGTTTATAAAAGAAAGAGTTTAAAGATTTCAAGTGTTTCATAAAGTTTGCCTGAAAAAGTTTCAAAAAAAAAAAAAAAAAGATAAAGTTATATAATTTTTATATCCTATAAAGTCCTAACTAATTAAGTAACAATCTCAGAGAAATTATTTTATAAAAAAATGGCCGAAGAATTAGACCGCAACGATCCCGATTTAAAATATTTATCGGTGGAACGTAATCAATTCAATGATCCGGCTACTCAAGCTGAATGGACTCAGAAACGTTTAGTTTGGGTGCCACATGAAAATCAGGTAAGTGCGCATTTTTTGAAAAACCCACCCTCAAAACTTAAGACCACAAGAACTAGTTCTCAGTGATATTGGCTTTGCCAAAAAAAATTAAGAGAAATAGGGAAAGAAAAAAAGCAAATGTTCGGTAACTGTTTCCGTTAGCCGTAGTTATGACTAATTGCTTAAGGTCCGATAAAGGATGTTCATAAATATTTATGAATATTTTCTTATTCGTCGCTGATATAGTTTAACTGGCATTCCAATGACTCATGAAGAAATAAGTTTCCCTTTAAGTACGCACATAAAACTTTAAAAAGATAATTTCTTTTTTATCACTTCTTTTTCCTCGTATTTGCAATTAATTTCCGTTTAGTAATTTTTCCAACATAAACTGCACAAAACGTTCTTTTATTCTGATTATAAAATGTCTTGGTTTGTATAGGAACATTTTTTTAAAAGATAATTTGTCCAAAACAAATAGAGGCATAAGTCGAATTCATTCTATTTTAAAATCATTGTATGGAAAAGTTGAAATATCTTGCATCCCGTAGATAATTTTTCGCAAAAGTATCGGACGAAGAATTCATGCTTATAAACTATGCTTCGGGGCGAGGCATGGATTTCTACCTTCAGATGGACATAACGTTTTTTCTTTTTTCATTGAAACTTTTTATTGACCCTTGCTACCTATTACGCGTTTGTAGCATTTACGAATTTAATAATAAGTAAAAACAATGCAGCGGACCTCGACGCACCATTAAATACTCTACAACACCCGGCAGTCATTCATATAACGACTTTTCAAAACAAGCATTTATATGGAAAGTGGTTGAAAAAGTGGTACTATTCGGATTGTATTCAATAGCGGTCATCGGTAAAATACTTGAGTATACCAAATTTCATGAAAGTATTTCAAAACTTGAATACAAAAAAAAAAACAAAACAAACAAACTCAAGGCGATTCAGAAAATGATTCTCAATCGATTGGGATGCAACAAGACAAAGCCCCTCTTCAAATCTCGCTGAGCGGCATAAAAACCGCAATGAACTGAGATTAGGTAGATAACCATACAATAATTGAAAATCTACAGAAAAATCGAATGACACAACGTTTAGAAAAATTTGTGAAAAAAGTTTTTACTATACGAACCAGCTAAGGAGTTCTAAAAGCAGGTTAAAAATCGAAACGATTTTCTTAACCCATGGAGTGCGAAGTTTTTGTACCATTACAATCAGGGCTTCTGAATGACACATTTTTGATGTTCTATTGTGGTTTGCTGATACACTATTGCCTGATTAATTGAGATTTCAATCCCTTTCAACGCTCAACATATGCGAAAAAAATGTTATATCGTCTACTTTAATATCATTTCAATATATTTCTTGGAATATTTTGAAAAAAAAAAAAAGAGCACACACACATTTGCCTTGATTTACTTTTTATCGCTGCTTTCGGGCGCAATATGCTTCTTCAGCGAAAAACAGTAACATTTTTCTCATTTTTGTTTGTTTTTTTTTTTTTTTTAGCAAAGCTTATTAACCAGATGACACCGCAAAGTTGCGAAGAAATCTTAATGTTCTTTGAATAAACAAATTTTATATCTCCGTAGTTATAAGATAATCGGAAAGAAACAACACTTAGGGAGAAAAGTTACGCTCGCTTAGGCCGAATATTCAATTAGAAATCCCTCAGCTCAAACCGTTGAAATTTGAAGGTATTTTGTTACCTAATCGCTTGGTGTTTATGGAACATAAGGTATAATGGATATTTTTCAACTTCAACTGCGAATACAAAATCGATCGCACCACTTGTAATGATCAGGACGAGGAAAGACTAGGTTTTCCTTTTTCAATGGCATTCTATGTAACAGCGTACTTTTGAAGATCTGAACAAAAAGTGGCAGGAGAGTAGAGCAAAGAGGGAGAGAGAGAGAGAGAGACAGAGAGAGCCTCACCTTTGCGTAGAACTCCCGAACAAAGACCATATGTCTCCGTTGTTTTAGCGGCGCTGCGTTTCTTCGTGAGAAACAATGGATAATCGGAATCCCGTTTTAGGAGCAAATTCATTAAAAGTCATATGGATTCGTCAATGCCTATTCTATATCTGTATCTCGGCCATTTTACAAACTTATTGAGTGATCTATTCTATACACGTTAACTAAATTTACGTTACAAGGTTTACTCTGCAATTTCTTTTTCTATTCCTGTGTTTGTTCACAAAATAGAATAACAATTCTTCTTTTTCTGGGTTAGCTAGCGGGTGTCAATACTAAAGACAGTTAAAAATAAAAATTTACATATGGGACCAGATCTTTATATAAATATTTGCATAAAGAAATACTGTGTGTTCGCTTCCGTAAGACAATTTTTATATAAATATAAAAAAAACAAAAAAAAAAAATTGAAACACATTTATAAAGCAATTGTTTCAATATTCAACATATTTATATACATAAGTTTTTGAGATAAATTTCTGATATAAATAAAAGTTTATATAGACAATCATTATTCATGTATTTTCAAGCTTCAAGGTTTGCTTGTCTTTCTTTTTGTTTCCCACTTTCTATAGGCGGGTTTTTTTTTTTTTTACAATATTTTTACTATTCTTGTTGGAACAGTTAAGAGCCAGGAGTCCTATCGATCATTTTACTGAAAGCAGAAACAAGTAAAAATATTACAGTGGACCACGACTCTACATTAAATACCCTACAATACTTCACTTAATACAATTATACATAAAACGACGTCTCAAAATAATGCGTTATATGGGACGTTGTCGTGAGAAGTCTGACTCGAAGCAGGGTCAAGAGCATTCGTTCTACGATTACAAGACGTCGGTGTATCAAATTTCATCAAAATAAGATGATTTTGAATCGACTGCTATGAGAATAGGTCGATCTATCTCAAGTGCTTCGGGATTCTGCATGCGTGCGTGCATACAACAGACGGTGTAGGATCTAATAAGGAATTTAAGGTCGAAATAAATACATATTCTCGTTACTGAGAAAACTCGATTCTAATTTGATGGCGGTACGCCTATTTTATGATCGAAACATCGAGGAAGAAAGTTAGTAAGAAAAATGCATAGTTTTTCGACAAATATAAACTCTCTGCTCGTTACCGTGAGGCCATAATCCATAGCTATCCTCATAGTCCCATAAACCAACCAGCCCCTGTTTTTCCGAAATGCGCACCATTCAACTAAGAAGGTACAACTGACAGTGTTATTTTAGCGGTTTTCCAGGAAAGACTTTTAATCCTTTGCACTTCTAACCTGTTTTTTCACCTACAGTGCCGTCCTCACTTAACCTGCGAAGGCATAAAAAGTGCTCTAATCAAAAACTGAGACTAGAATATGTAAAGTGGGTAGCTTTATTATTATTTTCTTTATCATCAATAAATTAATTTGGTGAACAGTTGCAAGAAACGCGATGTCGAATCCCACTCGGCAAAGGAGTGCAAAGTCGAAACTGAATAAATTTTGAGAACTACATTTTAAACCAGCGGTTTTTTTAATTTAAGCGAAGAAAGTGGGCGTTCCCGTTAGTTGATCGGGAGTAAGTTTTATGTTTTTTTTTAAATGACTTTGCAAATGTTTTTTATGAAGTGTCTACACTCAACACCCGCTAAAGATTGCAAATTAGTATTTAATTTTGTTATTTGGAGTTTGCGAATAATTTCAAAGCTATCCTGCAGTGCTAAGATGCACTTTTTAACTCAGCTATGGGACCTTAAATGATTCATGATCCAACAATTAACAATAGCTAGGTGGATAAACAAAGCGATATACGGAGGGAAGGACGGACATACTAAATCGACATAAGATGTCATGTGACATTTCTCTTTCTTTTAATATTTCCAATTGCACAGGGGATGTCCCATATTCTAAAGCATTCTAAGCAGTCAACTCCACCACATTTGAGTCGCTTTTCTTATCTATTTGCCTACGCATGTGGACTTACACTTATATTACTCGGTATAAAGAAAGGAAAAATCTGTGAGGATCTTCATCCTTTAATAGTGATTAAGGGAATAATTGCGTTCGTTAATTTGTTGATCATAACAGAACACGATCAAAATTTTCTTGATATAAACCTCTACTAGCCTTCTTTTCCGATATATTTAACATAATTCCCGTATGTCACAGAAAAGTTGGTAATTTTTACGTGCAATCAACTAGAATAGTAGAACTAACACTTTTTTACAGCGTGCTTCGAAAAGTTACTGGTGAACAATAAATTATATTATGCGGTAAATTAACTTTTGTGCTATGTTCAGTAGACTGTTTTTATTACTATTTGCCTTTTTCTTTATCACATATTTAAGGCAAAAGATAAATTAAGTTTGTCGTGTGCTTAGAAAATACATTGAGTCTTGCCTTAGCTCCCGTGCACTAGGTAGGTGTACTCTTTGAAATTGAATAATGAATACATGAGTAAAGTTAGCCACGCCCTCTCGACTGTTTTTATATAATTTTGTATTTAAGGACTAAAAGGGGAAAATCGCGTTTCATAGATAGAGTAAAGTCTCTACACCAGCGTAACGTTTTGAGTCGATTTAGCCGTGTCTGTCTGCCTGTCCGTTCTCTTTTGCAATTTATTTCAAGCGATGGAAGAATAAGATATCTGGATCAAATAATAAGAATAAGAAGAAAAAATGTGAAAAATTAAAAAAAAAAAAGAGAATTAAAAAATTCCCTTTTTCAAGGCATTTACATCTTCTAGAGTCTATCTTAGGACTTTGATATTTGCATGTGTAAATGAAGGTTCCAATCATTGACTCAACACGCCCACAAACGACAGTTTGTGTTTTTGTTACAGTTATATTAAATACAACTGCTTGTATGGTATCCAAGGTTCGCTTTAATCCAGCAGATTATAACTTTTTTACGTGTTTGTTTATCTTTGCGTTTTCTTTTCATTAAAAAAACTAACTTTATGGTTTTATTAGTAAACTATTTTAAAGACCTTTAAAAATCTAACCAAACTGTAACGTAATGACGTAATTTTCTTAAGAAGAGC